CCTGCCTCGGCCTCCCAAAGTGCTGAGATTATAGGCGTGAGCCACAGCGCCCGGCTGCATAAACCCTTTTCTACAGTTTCAGAATCTATCATGACTCTTATTATACCAACGAATGGACTATAAAGAAGCTGGGTTTAAAACATAAGAGTCTTTGCAGGGTAAAGAAAATGACCATATATTTTCAATGTTTACCAATGACTGCAGAGATTATAGTTTTGCTTTATAAAGCTGACAAATATATAGGCAACCAGGTTGATTAGCACAGGAGTTCGCTTGAAAATAAATGGCTACATTTCTCATAAAAGAATAAATTATCTAGAAATTATAAAGATTGGAAAACATAAGGTTTTATTTAAAGAAATGTTGTCATCTAAGTGACTACATCCTTTTGCAAATAGTCGCTTTGCCAGAGAAAAAAGTCCCAAGGGAAAAAATGTAAAGACATGTTAGTAGAAGTGACAGCACCTAAGTATCTGGTATAATAATGGACAGGGAAAGAAATGGAATCAGATAATTCAATAAAACCTACAATAGTTTACTACTTATAGTCGACATGCAAATATTTCCTTTGCTTATCAAACAGTACTTTATTCAAAGCACTTTCAGATATTATCATTCAGTTCTGTGTTTACAAGTACTTTTTTCTTTTACATCTCTACTCTACATTTATATATGCATCTAAGGAACTAGATAAAAAAGCATATTGAGTTTTAAAGTAGAATCTGAATAATCACACAGACATGGACCAACATTTATTACAAACAGGAATAGTGCAGATCTATAAGAAAAGAGTACAGATTTTTTTGGTAAAAAGGCTGCAAGCTGAAGTATAGAAATCACCATAATCTATATAATGCAGTAATTGTTATCTGCATTTTAAAATCACATTGCTTAACAGAAACAATACATTATAATACAGTAATTTAAACTGCTAAGTAAAGGTATTAAAACAGTATCAACAGTGGAAAAGTTTATTTCAATTTAGGGTCACTCATGTTGCATCCTGAGTTCACTTCCATTTTCCAAGAAGAAAGGTCATTTTGAAAAATTGAAATGTATGCCACACAACCCATTATTTATAAGGAAGAAAAAACCAAGTATAGAGAAAATAATTCATCTTTTGTAAAAATTTTAAATAAAAAACAATCAATCATCTATATGCTTTTATTACAGAAATACAGCTTTCACAGACCGCAAGATACATTGTTGCTATTACCAGCAGCATTACCTTCTTCATTTCTCCTTCAGCCACCAATAAAAAACATCCTTCAGTAAAAAAAATTCCTTATGAATGTGGCCTGAATCAAAAGAAATTACCTCTCTAGTAAGATATTGTAGCTTACATGTTGTCGCTCATCACCTAATTACATGAAAAGCTACAGAAACCACAGGCTGGGTGGGGAAGAACAATTTAAAAGAATATGGCAAAATTCTATAGGTTTTCTAAATTGTGTGATTATTTAGTGACCTTTTTAGTCATTGTAAAAAGCAGGCTTTTTTTTTTTTTTTTTTTGAGATGGAGTCTCACTCTGTCATCAGGATAGAATGCAGTGGCAGTGGCTCACTGCAACCTCCACCTCTCAGGTTCAAGTGATTCTCCTGCCTTAGCCTCCCAAGTAGCTGCGACTACAGGCATGCGCCACCACACCCAGCAAATTTTTGTATTTTTTAGGATTTCACCATGTTGGCCAGGATGGTCTTGATCTCTTGACCTTGTGTTCCACCCACCTCAGCCTTCCAAAGTGCTGGGATTACAGGCGTGAGCCACTGTGCCAAGAGCACTGAGGCTCCGAATGGGGCATTCTACTTAAGTGTTTAAAACCTCTCATTTCTTAAATCCAAAAATATACTAAACTACATTTAAGATATCCCTTATTCGATCAAATAGCTGGAGACATATTTAAATTTTCCTTTATTTAAAACTAAGAAGCAGCAAAAGTAGTTTCACATAGTGATAGATTTTATACTTGATAACTATAACTTTAAGAACAGTCATACTTAATGACTTGCTCATCTTATAATAATATTGTTAAATCATGTGTGACATAGCAGTTTTAAAATAAAGAGTAGAACAATATATTTCAGGGATTGAAGGCAAAATGTTATCTCCAATGTGTTACTCTAACACTGAAGTAATTTGGCCTAGTTTTTGAAATTATATATTAAGAATACACAGACATTTGTCCTACATGCCATTCACCAGAGCAAGAGAATTTTACCTCCAACAATTTCCACACTACAGCAGAAAAATAAAAGCATGTGACAAATTAAGGATGACATTTTAAAATCCAAATTTTACACAGCTAAATAGATACTGCTCAACTCTCAGTTATGAGCAATCTGATATACTAGCTCATATAGTAGCATCATTAACTTTTTTCTAAGTGATTAATATGCTCTCATTTCCAACTGATGTTTCAAATTTTAAGAAAAAGTTTAATACTTTTTTCCTTTGACATTTTGCACTTTATAGGATTTGTAAGTAATTTCTCTGGGGAAGCAAATTATCTTCTGTTACTAAAGATGTATGTATTTTCTATTAAAAAATGTATTTGGAGTCACACAAGTTAGGTTAGCTGAATATAAAGAAATGAACATTACAATTTTCCCACCATGAAGTACTGAGTTACAACAAATGTATTAACAAAACTTTATTTTGAGTGCATACAGAATGTTATGTAAACACTGAATTATTACTTTCAATGTAAAGACATTCTTATTCTCACTTCAAATTTTTAAAAAGTATTATAAATAGGTTATGTGTCTTCTCCAGAAATATTAACGGCCACATTGAGTGATATGATCAAAGAAAACTTTAGCCTCTCACAGGCTAAACAAAAATATAAAATGTGAAAATAAAAAATAAAAATAAGAGCAAATCAGGAAAGAGAAAAACACAGCTCAAGATATACATTTTTAAAACCAGTATTCAATTTAAACCCTTAATTCCTAAACCAAAAATACCCATTTTTAAAAACATACATATATATTATTTACCATTTGTTCTCAATACATGTTAAATATACCTACTTGTGTGTGTGTGTGTGTGTGTGTGTATGTACATGTTTGTAGGTAAAATAACTGCAAATATTACCAACTAAATAAATCAGGCAACTGCTATCAGCTCATTTCATTTCATTATATGAATTGAGTCTGTTATGTAGACAACTTTCAGCCCCTTGGAATAACATCTGGTCTTCCTGAAACTCTTTTTTAGGATGCAGTTTGTAACTTACAACTAGTAAATTGTAGAAACAAACCCATTGTGTTCAGAGTTACAGAATGGAGTATCCAATGGCCTATTTTAGTTTAACTTATGCTATAATAAAATGTATGAATGCCTAAATATTTGAGAAACAAGAAAATTTAAAAACTCAGAAAGTTTTACTTCACTATACAAAAACAATTATTTATCAATTATGTTAATTTTTGGTGCACTTGATTATAAGTCTAATGTGTTTGTAAAGCCAGACTAGAATGCAGACCATGTGCAGGTGATCCAGGTTCCTTATTTCAATGAGTTAATACAAAGCAGCACTGGCTTCAGCATATTTCAGACAGGCCTCACCTGTTTTGTGCCAAGCTACTTTGGTAACTAAATATTAAGGAAAGAAATAGTCCCAGAGGACAGGTGATGAAACTTTTAAGGATATGGTCATAGGCCAAAACTATCAGACTCCACATAAGGCACAATCTCTCTCATACATACAAACACACAAACATACATACCACATACACAACCACACACACAAAAATAAAACACACACGATGTTCCTGGTATTATCCAGTAATTTCCCTCCCCACCAAGTATCTAAACTATAGCACCAATCTAAACTATAGCACCAATAAAATGAGTACACTGTAGCCTCTATTTAAATCTGCTATTGGTTGGGTCAATTCTGAGGACACATCACAGGTGACACTGTGTTGTGCTGAAATCTATTCAGTACTGCTAATGACCAAAGCCCTTTGAATAAGTCCAAAACAGACCTATATGTTATCAAATTTCAGGTACAGCAGAAAATGTTATGTTGAGGCTGCAGTGTACTTGATTATGCTGAGAATCTATATCACAAAACAGTAAAAGAGTACTGCGTAAATATTATAAGTTACAAAAAGAACTGCATATAACTGTCAGCTTAATGTGGATAGCAGTTATTTACATCTTACCCCTTCCATCCCATTAATTTATATTAATAACCTGAAAATGATTACTTGGTGCCAACTGTTACTGACACATTAAAACTTTTGTTATCATTTTTACTACTAATTCCAGTCTTCAAAAATTAACATTTTCCTCCTAGCCATAATCATGAATGGGGTTCCTCACTCTATACAATATACATGCCTGGATTCAAATTTCAAGACATAAAAAGCAAGAAAAAAAATCAAAATATCATTGGATAAAATTATGATTATAGGATTAAATAGGTTTGAATCACATTAGCTTAATCTTGCATAATATAAACTTCATCTTACAGAAAAATCATTAAATTATTGAAGTGCTTACATTGATAAACCATGCATTTTCACAAAATTAAAATGTAGAGTAATTCTTCTCTTAAAATGTTTCATTTCACCAGACACTCAAAATATCCTATGAAAAACTAAGTTAACATTTCTGTATTTTCATATACTCCCATTCATATTAGTTTGTAAGTAGGAATAAAAAGAAAAATGAGTTCTAAATAAATGACACAGGAGGCAATAAATTGACACATGACAAGTAAATAAAAGGCTAAAGCACTCCAATACCATTGAAACTGTTTTAATGTTGTTGCAACTCCAAAATGCAACAATCATCAGCTTGTAAAAGACCCAAATTTCAAAAATTCATTTTAATTACTCCTTCATACCTATTTTACAAAATAAAGGTTAGACACATTTAAATCCTCCTTGTCCTAGTTGGCTATGATCCTAACTTGTTTTTTTATCACTACAGTGTATGCTGCAATTCTCATCAGATGCTGATATAAGAAAAAATAAAATAAAATAGTAACCTCTGCTTCAATGTACAGTTTCCAGAATCTGCCAGAACTGGGGAACTGGGCAACAAGGCGTTCGTAAGTCTTCCGTGCTTTGTCTATAGGTTGATTCTAAAATTGAAAACCAATAAACAGCATTTACAATGTTAGGATTATGAAAATATTATTCACTGCAGAACCAAGTAGTGTGATTGGACCCATAGAGAAGGAAATGTAATCCTATATCACTAAACCTGTGCCTCTCGAATGAGAATGCTCCAAGCATCAAGGTCATATGGATTCTCTTCTAATTTCTTTTCCGCTTTCTTCACCTTCTCTGGGACATACTCAGCTGCCTGGAGAAAAAAAAAACAATGGTGAACTAAAGTTACTGTTTTAAAAATCTCAGGCCTAAGTTAATTCAAGAACAGTAAAGTCCTCGGATACAATGTCACATTACAAAGCATAAAACTATCATCATATAAAAGAGAACTGTGTTTTCCAGAACCTATGTGTACAATCGTCCTTCCTTATCTGTGGGTTCTGCATCCTTAAATTCAACCAAGGGTGGACTGAAAATACTCAGGGGAAAAAAACACAGCAGTATCTATATTAAACATGTATAGCCTTTGTATTAATCGTTATTTCCTAAACAACACAACATAACAACTATTTACATGGCATTTATATGATGTTATTATAAATCAATCTAGAGATGATTTAAGTATCTGGGAGGACATATGGAAGTTATATGCAAATACTACATTATTTTATATAAAAGACATGAGCATGGATGGACTCTGGTATCTAAAAGGGTATCCTGGCAACAATCCCCTACAGATACTGAGGGACGATCATATTTGTAATCAGAAGTAATTTGCATAAAAATAAGACAAGTGATCAAATATTTTTTATTCAAACAATTTTTTTTGTATTAAATACTATAAAACAGCAGTTCTCAAGTTTTATGGTCTCAGGACCCTTCTACACTCTTTAAGAACCACAAAGAGATTTTATGTGGGTTATATCAATATTTATCATATTAGAAATTAAAACAAAAAAATTTAAATATAATTTCATTTACAAATAAAACTTTTTACAAGTTAATTTTTCTTTACAAAAAATAACTTAAAATTCAGTAAAAAGAATGCCTCTTTTTACATTATTTATAAGTCCATTCAATATTTGACTTTTAAAAAGGCAGCTGAATTATCACATCTGCTTCCGCATTCAATCTGCTGCCCTATCAGATCATGGAAATGCTGAAAAATTCCACTGTACACCCATGAGAGATTAGGAGTAAAAAAGGGCAAATAATGTCTTAAATTTATTATGAGACAGGCTGAACTCACAGATCCTCCGAAAGTCCTTAGGAACCCTTGGGGTTCCTGGACCCATTCTGAAAAACACTGCTGATAAAACATTCATCCCCCACCACAAAGAAAACGCATAGAACAACATGAAAAAAAAATTTTTTTTTTTTTTTGAGACGGAGTTTCGCTCTCGTTACCCAGGCTGGAGTGCAATGGCGCGATCTCGGCTCACCGCAACCTCCTCCTCCTGGGTTCAGGCAATTCTCCTGCCTCAGCCTCTCGAGTAGCTGGGATTACAGGCACGGGCCACCATGCCCAGCTAATTTTTTGTATCTTTAGTAGAGACGGGGTTTCACCATGTTGACGAGGATGGTCTTGATCTCTTGACCTCATGATCCACCCGCCTCGGCCTCCCAAAGTGCTGGGATTACAGGCTTGAGCCACCGCGCCCGGCCCCAAAATCTTCTATCAATGTAAAAGAATTTTTAAAACACAATTCACAATTGTATATACAACATAATGAAAACTATAAAATCTTAAAGAGATTTTAAAAATATATTCAAATGCTTAGACTGGTCATCCTTGGAAGATGAGTAGCAGAATTGCAGGCCGATTTTTTTTTCTCCTTTTCTTTCAATATTCCCCAAATCCTTTAGTAAAGCAGTTTTACTTTTATTATGGAAGTTTAATCTTAAAAAAATGCCTAAAATAGTAGCTAGCACTTGATGAAAATAATAAAAGTATTAATTCTCAAATTATTGTTCAGAATACTACTGTGTACCACAAAAAGCAATGCTCAAATGAGCCAGATAAATGTTAATTTATACAGGCCAGGTGTGGTGGGTCACATCTTTAATCCCAGCACTTTGGGAGGCCAAGGCAGGCAGATCACTTCAGGCCAGGAGTTCAAGACCAGCATGGCCAATGTGGTGAAACTCCAAACTAGAAAAGTTAGCTGGACATGGTGGTGTGTGCCTATTATCCCAGCTATCTGGAAGGCTAAGGCACAAGAATTGCTTGAACCCAGAAAGCAGAGGTTACTGTGAGCGAGACTGCACCACTGCACTCCAGCCTGGGTGACAGAGCCACACACTGTCTTAAAAAATAAAAAAGTTAATTTATATAAAGTTTTGTTTTGTCTTTTTTCAAGGTCATCTTGAAATCTATAACAGCAACATATATTGATAATATGCAAGCATAGAGAACAGCAACATATATAGATAATATCCAAGCATAGAGAGGGAAGAACTGCCCTATTACTTTTCTCCCCCACCACCCTTTTTTTTTTAAGTGAAATTAGTATTTCATGAAACAATTCAGTCAAAACATCAGTTTAGAAAAATTATAAAAAAAGTCATCTGTTCAGATTTTTTTAATTACCTAGGGGAAATAAACTCTTCTCTCTGAAACAAATTAGCTTGCACTACTGGTAAGCAGTCACTTATTTAGGAAATAGACATGTTGACTACTGTAATTCGAATTAAAATTAGGATGCTTTCTTAACATACAAGAACTTTTTGAATAAATTGCTCAAAGAACGAAAGCTGGAAAAGTTTATAAGGGACTACTGCCTCTACCCACATATTAAACTACAGTTTGTTAATGGTGACAAACCAATCACTGGACCAGTGATTGGCTCAGAAAGAACAGCAAATGGAAAATCTGCAAATAATAAAGGTGGCATTTTCAAATCAGAATGGTGGATTGTTCAATAAATGGGTTTGGAATAACTATACAGTCATCTGTTAGAATAACTGTGAAATCAATTTTATCAAATAAAGTTGAATTCCTACTTTACTCTTTCTACCAAAATAAACTTAAGAGAGATAAGATGTAAATGTTAAAAACAAAACACAAGACAGAAACTAGAGGAGAATACAGTGAAATGCATTTTTGCATAGGAAAAGTTCTTCAGAAGCCTTTTGGGAGGCCAAGGTAGGAGGACTGCTTGAGCTCAGAAGTTCTTTTAGACCAGACTAGGCAACATGGCAAAACCCCATCTCTACCTAAATACAAAAATTAGCCAGGTGTGTGGCAGTCTAAGGTACTTGGGAGGCTGAGGTGGGAGGACTGCTTGAGCCCGGGAGGGAGAAGTTGCAGTGAGTCGAGACTGCCGCCATTGCACTCCAGCCTGGGTGACAGAGTCAGACCCGGTCTTAAAAAAAAAAAAAGCCTTTAGACAGGTGCAGTGGCTCATGCCTGTAATCCCAGCACTCTGGAAGGCCAAGGTGGGTGGATCACCTGAGGTCAGAAGTTCGAGACCAGCCTGGCCAATATGGCAAAAGCCCATCTCTACTAAAAATACAAAAAATTAGCCAGGCGTGGTGACAAGTGCCTGTAACCCCAGCTACTCGAGAGGCTGAGTCAGGAGAATCACTTGAACCCAGGAGGCTGCAGTGAGCCGAGATTGTGCCATTGCACTCCAGCCTGGGCAATAAGAGTGAAACTCTGCCTCAAACAAAAACAAAACAAAACAAAAAACAGCCTTTAAAGAGTAAACTTATATGGTAAGTTAAAATTTGCGCATGAGAAAAGTACCAAAATCAAAAGACAAATGTAAAAAAAACCCTCCAACACATGACAAATACACTAAATTACAATCAATAAAACACCAGTGGTTCAAAAACAAAATGCAGGCAGATACAGAGGCTCACACCTGCAATCTCAGCACTTTGAGGCTAGGGCAGGAGGACTGTTTGAGCCCAGGAATTTGAGACTAGCCTGGGCAATATGGTGAAACCCTGTCTCTATAAAAAATACAAAGAATTAGCTGAGCATGGTGGCATGAGTCTGTGGTCCCACCTACTTGGGAGGCTGAGGTGGGAGGATCACCTGAGCCCAGGAGGTTGAGCCATGATTGCACCACTGCTCTCCAACCTGGGTGACAGAGTAAGACTATGTGTCAGAAAAAGAATTTTTTTTAATAAAAATTTTAAAAATTAAAAAATGGGCAAAGCATATGAACAGTTTATAGAACAATTAACTTTTTAAACACTCAAAAGAAATGTAAATATAAACCAGAAAACAGAGATCCAACATTTTATAATTAAATTGCACTGGTGGGGGTAAGCAGAAAAAGATATTCTCATAATGTCAGCAAAGGCAAGTAGAAATTGATCAATGTTTAATATAAATGTCTGATTCTGAATTCCACTTCTATTAACACCCTACTGCACGTGTACACAAAAAGATGTAATGAAAATCAGCTGCCAGACTGTAGTTACACAAGACTGAAAATAAATTATTAAATAACTATGTATAGCCAGATGTGGTGGTACCCACCTATAGTCCCAGCTACTCAGGAGGCTAAGGTAGAAAGATTGCACCCCAGGAGTTCGAGGCTGCAGTGAGCTGTAATCACACCACTACACTCTACCCTAGGTAACAGAATAAAACCCTGTCTCTTTGTGTTAAAATAAAATAGGCCGGGTGCGGTGGCTCAAGCCTGTAATCCCAGTACTTTGGGAGGCTGAGGCGGGTGGATCATGAGGTCAACAGATCGAGACCACCTGGTCAACATGGTGAAACTTCGTCTCTACTAAAAATAAAAAAAAATTAGCTGGGCATGGTGGCGCGTGCCTGTAATCCCAGCTACTCAGGACGCTGAGGCAGGAGAATTGCCTGAACCCAGGAGGCGGAGGTTGTGGTGAGCCAAAATCGCGCCATTACACTCCAGCCTGGGTAACAAGAGTGAAACTCCATCTAAAAAATAAAAATAAAATATAAAATAAAATAAATAAATATATGAAAGGACCAGTTAAATTATGGCATTTGTAGTCACTTTAAGAAAAAAAGGCGCTGGGCACAGTGGCTCACACCTATGACCCCAGCACTTTGGGAGGCCAAGGCGGGTGGATCATGAGGTCAGGAGATCAAGACCATCCTGCCCAACATGGTGAAACCCTGTCTCCACTAAAAATATAAAAATTAGCTGGACACAGTGGTGGGCGCCTGTAATCCCAGCTACTCAGGAGGCTGAGGCAGGAGAATCACTTGAACCTGGGAAGCAGAGTTTGCAGTGAGCAGAGGTCAGGCCACTGCACTCCAGTCTGGTGACAGAGCAAGATTCCATCTCGGGGGGAGGCGGGGGGGGAAGGCATGGCAAGTAGCCACATGGAAATCTCCATAATATTAGGTTAAAAAGAAAATGATGGTGAGAAGAGAGATATGCAAACAACACATACACTTACTCTGTCATATACCCTTCTGGTTTGTTTGAATTTTTCTTATTCACCTGAGAAATATTCCCTCAATGCCTAGTATGTGTTAGACATTGTAGTGGCCCTTGAGATACACAACAAAATAAAGAATTCTTTCAAAGGGTTTACTTCTTGAAAATAAAATAAATTTTTGGCCAGGCATAGTAGCTCATGCCTGTAATCCTAGCACTTTGAAAGGTCAAGGCATGAGGACTGGTTGAGGACAGGAGTTCAAGAGCAGCTGGGCAACATAGTGAGACCCCCTCTCTACAAAAAAATTTTTTAGCCAGGCATGGAGGTGTATACCTGCAGCTCTAGCTAATAGGGAGGCTGAGGCAGGAGGACTTCTTGAGACCAGATGTTCAAGACCAGCCTGAGCAACATGGTAAGACTGTGTCTCTACCAAAACAAAACAAAACAAAAACAACTTAGCCAGGCATGGCGGTAGGCACCTGTAGTCCTAGCTACTTGGGAAGCTGAGGCAGGAGGATTGCTTGAGCCCAGGAGTTCAAGGTTGCAGTGAGCTAAAATTGTGCCACTGTACTCCAGCCTGGGTGACAGCAAGACACCAGCTCTTAAAAAAAAAAGGGGGGGGGTCCACTCGAGGTGGCTTACACCTGAAATCCCAGCACTTTGGGAGGCTGAGACGGGCAGATCACAAGGTCGGTAGCTTGAGATCAGCCTGGACAACATAGTGAAATCCCACCTCTACTAAAAACACAAAAATCAGCCAGGCATGGTGGCACGTGCCTGTAGTCCCGGCTACTCGGGAGGCTGAGGCAGGAGCATCACTTGAAACCGGGAAGCGGAGGTTGTAGGGAGCCAAGATAGCGCCACTGCACTTCAGCATGGCCAACAGAGGGAGACTGTCTCAAAAAAAAAAAAAAAAGAGAGAGAAAGAAATTTTAAGTAAACTAGAATTTCAGTCCTGAAATACTGACTACGAAATGATAACAATTAAGAAGTAAAACTGATATGGGAGCCAAAAAACAGTTCATCTATACTTGAAACAAGGATTAGCTTTGGAAAAATGCCAGGGGACGGGGCAGACAAAGAATCTTACAAGGTATGAACTGTCAATTTATTTTAGCCTTTCAGTACCATCGAAGAATAAATCTGATAAATCTCAAATTTGTTACTAAAATATATGGTTGTTTTTCTCTTGGTACTGAGATTTGTGATTTTTTGCCCTCTGAAAGAAGGAAAGGATTGTAGACAAGCAGAATCGCTACCAAGGTTTATTGCTATAATTGTTTTTACTCTTGTTAGTAAGGTCAATTTTGCACTTAGGAGAGGGCTATTTAAGTTACTTTACAGTGTTCACAGGTATTCTGGAGCTCAAGACTCACTTGCTGAAATTAACCTACCAAATTAGATAACGTATACCATATAATCTATAAAAGAACAGAGAAACACAGAAGATAGAATCTGATCTGCTATCTGACCAAGCATAATCACAGTAAGATGTATACATTTCTCCTTAATACATCAAATGAGCCACCCCTTTAGTGATTCTCAATCTCGATCTGCATTAGAATCACCTCACGGAAGAAGATTTTAAAAAGATATTCAAGCCTCACCCTCAATCAACTAAACCTGAATCTCTAGGAATGTACATACCATCAATGTTTTTAAAAAACTTTTCAATTCTAACATGCAGCAGTCCTAGTTGAAAACCATGGCTGGCCAGACACAGTGGCTCTGCCTGTAATTCCAACTTTGGGAGGCTGAGGCGGGTGGATCACTTCAGGTCAGGGATTCAAGACCAGCCTGACAAACATGGTGACACCCCGTCTCTACTAAAAATACAAAAAATCAGCTGGGTATGAATGCGGCTGAAGTGGGAGAATCTCTTGAACCTGGGAGGCAGAGGTTGCAGTGAGCAGAGACTGTGTCACTGTACTCCAGCCTGGGTAACAGAGTGAGACTCCAAAAAAAAAAAAAGAAAGAGAAAAAGAAAACAAACAATGGCTCTCTAGTTGCTCCTTTCTTTGGTGCCACAGAACCTTTCTGCAGTCTACTGAAGTCTATGAGACTTTTCTCAGAACAATTTAAATACATAAATTTTTGAGGGATTTCCAGGAAAACAAAAGTTTGTGTGTATATGCATGTTGTTGCTGTTGCTGTTTTTTTAAAAAAGACAGGCTCTCTCTCTACATTGCTGGCCTAGAGCTCCTGGGCTGCAGTGATCCTCCTGCCTCAGCCTCCCAAGTAGCTGGGACTACAGTAGTGCACCACAACTCCTTGCTTTTTTTTTTTTTTTTTTTTTTTTGAGAGAGAGTCTCACTCTGTAGCCCAGGCTGGAGTGCAGTGGCGGCGATTTCAGCTCACTGCAACCTCCACCTCTGGGGTCCCAGTTCAAGCAATTCACCTGCCTCAACCTCCCAAGTAGCTGGGATTATAAGAATGTGCCATCACACCCAGCTAATTTTTGTGTTTTTGGTAGCGACTGGGTTTCACCATGTTGTCCAGGATGGTCTTCAACTCCTGACCTCGTGATCCACCCACCTCGGCCTCCCAAAGTGCTGGGATTTTAGAAGTGAGCTACTGTGCCAAGCCACTCCAAAGTTTTTTATAGTAATATATACTTAATACATGAAATAACAAGCTCTAGGGGGCCAATTCACTACATGAGCAATGACTGCTGGTATTAACACTATTACCTCGGTAAACAAGTGGTTAGTGAAATAGTGTTTTCCCCCATCCAATTTAACAGAATCCCTAAAATCCTAACCAGATACCTGAGGAATTAGCAGAAGTATCAGCTACATCAAAATCCAGCTTTTACTTTTGAAATAACAACCTATAATCCCAATATCATTCTTCAGGAGATGTAAATGGGGAACAGGAGGGGGACTCTAAATCAAAGGAGTAGAGCAAAAACTGGACTAGTTATCAAGGCATATATATTACCAATGACTTAATTTTATCTTCTCTGTGAATAACACAACAATGTACAACTGGTTAAAACAAAGAAGGTAGGGGCCAGGCACAGTGGCTCACGCTTATAATCCCAGCCCTTTGGGAGGCTCAGGCAGGTGGATTACTTGAGCTCAGGAGTTGGAGATCAGCCTGGCAACATGGCAAAACCCCATCTCTACAAAAATTAGCTAGGTGTGGTGGCAGGCATCTGTAACCCCAGCTATTTGGGAGGCTGAGGTGGGAGGATGGATTGAGCCTAGAAGGTGTTGGTTGCAGTGAACCAAGATCACACACCACTGCACTCCAACCTGGGAACAGGGCCAGGCCCTGTCTCCAAAAAAAAAAAGTTTGAAACTAGGGTAAGCGTATTACCTGTTTAACCTTTTATAATTTCTTTTTCAGTACTGGCTTTACTGAGAAGTGATTCACATACAATTCACCCATCTAAAGTATATAGGTCAATTGTTTTTATTTTTGAATATATTCAAGTTTACAGAACCATCACAAATTTAAAACATTTTATCACCTCCCCCCCCACAAAAATCTGTACCTCCCATTTCTCTCCAATCCCTGAGCCCTAGGCAACTACTAATCTACTTTGTCTCTATTTAATCATAAATAAAATATGATTATATTTAATGTAATCATACAATATGTGTTCTTTTTGTTTCTAGCTTTCTTTTTTCTTTGAGACAGGGTCTCACTCTGTTACCCAGGCTGAAATGCAGTGGCACAATCATAGCCCACTGCAGCCTCAACCTCCCGGGCTTAATCAATCCTCCCACCTAGGCCTCCTGATAATGGGACTACAGGCATGTGCCACCATGCCCAGCTAATTTTTATATACATATTTTTTAATAGAGATGGGGTTTTGCTATATTGTTCAGGCCGGTCTCGAACTCCTGGGCTCAAGCAATCCACCTGCCTCAGCCTCTCAAAGTATTGGGATTACAGCTGTGAGCCACCATAACTGGCCTTGTTTTTGGCTTTCAGTTAGCATGTTTTCAAAGTTCATGTTTTTGCATATATTAAGTACTTTTCTTCTGACAATATTCCATTATGTGCGTATGCTACATTTAATTTATTCATGGATCAGCTGATGGACCTTGGACTGTTTCCAATTTTGGCTATTACTAATAACATTACTATGAACCTTAGCGTTTAAGATTTCTTTGTGGAGTTCATTTTGTGTGTTTTCCTTTTTCTTGAATATACACTTACAAATGGAATTGCTCAGTAATGTAGTAACTCTATGTTTAATATTCTGAAGAACTACCAGACTTTTTTTTTTTGAGACAGTCTCTTTCTGTCACCTAGGCTGGAGTGCAGTGGCGCAACCTTGGCTCACTGCAACCTCTACCTCCGGGTTTCAAGCGATTCTCTTGCATCAGCCTTCTGAGTGTCTGGGATTACAGGTGTGTGCCACCATGCCTGGCTAATTTTTTTTGCTATTTTTAGTAGAGACTGGGTTTCACCATGTTAGCCAGGATGGTCTTGATCTCCTGACCTCATGATCCACCCACCTCAGCCTACCAAAGTGCTCTGGGATTACTGGCGTAAGCCACTGCACCAGGCCAGAACTACCAGACTTCAAGGGGGCTGTACTATTTTACACTTCCAGTGTATAAAGTGTTCTAATTTCTCCATATCCTTACCAACATTTGATATTACCTGTCTTTTTGATTACAGTCATCCTAGTGGGTGTGAAGTGATATCTCATTGTTGTTTTGAGTTACATTTCTCTGATGGCTATAGAAGAAGTAGAGCAGCTTTTCATTTTCTTATTGGCCATTTGTACATCTTTGGAGATACATCTGTTGAAATATTTTACCCATTTAAAAACTGGACTTATCAACAGTTTGAGACCAGCCTGGCCAACACGGTTAAAACCCAATCTCTACTAAAGACACAAAAAACTAGCTGGGTGTGGTGGCAGGCACCTGTAATCCCACCTACTCAGGAGGCTAAGGTGAGAGGATCCCTTGAGCCTGGGAGGCAGAGGTTGCACTGAGCCAAGATTGTGCCACCGTACTGCAGTCTGGGCAACAGAGCAAGACTATGTCTCAAAAAAATAATAAATGAAGTAAAAACTGGATGTATTATTATTACTTTTTAGAGGTAGAGTTTTGCTATGTTGCTCAGGCTGGACTTGAACTCCTGCCTCAGCCTCCCAAGTAGCTGGGACTACAGGCGTGCACAACTGCACCTGGCTGGGTTTTTTCATTAATGAATGTTACATGTTAGAGTTATAAGTCCCTTATCAGACATGATTTGCAAAAATTTTCTCCTATTCTGTGGGTTGGCTTGCTACGTTCTGTGTTTAACCTTCCGTTATGTGAAGCTAACTCACTCAGAGAAATAGAACTTACGATCTTGGCTTCACAGGCACCATGTACTATTCTAACTATTCTCAAACTTTTTGTAAAGGACTGCTTTATACTCTTATAAACTGAGATACCCAAAGGAATTCAATCAGTACTTAATTAGAAATTAAAACAAAAAATTATTTAATTCATTTAAAATACATTCCTTAAATGTCAATATAAATATTTTACCAAAAGAAAATTTCTTAAAAAAAAAAAAAAAAAGGTAAAAAGAAATGCACCATTACATTTTCAAGATCTTTTAAATGTCTGGTTGAATAGAAGACATTTGCTTCTTTCAATCAGTTACAATATATTGTTTTAGATGAAGAAATTTCAGCCTCACAGTTATGTAGTTGGAAAAGGAAGTAAAGACTATTTTTAATAGCTTTTACATATAATTGTAGATAGGTGATGTAGCCTCTCAAAAGCTCCATGCGTTATGCTTTATTGAAACTCCTAGCCACGTTCTTTCTATATAAGCCCATAACTTTTATTAGGAGGTTGTTAATTCGAGGGTGGGATAAGAGGTGATTATTAGGAGGTTGTTAATTCGAGGGTAGGATGAGAGGTGACAGACACTATCACATTAGTGACTGAAATAATAATATAATTTAAGGCTGGGTGCAGTGGCTAACACCTGTAATCCTAGCACTTCCAGAGGCTGAAGCGGGAGGAGTCCTTGAGCCCAGGAGGTTGAGGCTGTGGTGAGCCATGATCACACCAAGGCACTCCACACACTCCAGCCTGGGCAACAGAATGAGACATAGTCTCAAAAAGAAAAAAAAAGAAGAAGAAAGATAATTCTCTCTTTCTAAGTAGGGATCAGTTAAAGTGATAACACAGAAGTATGAATACAAGGGTGAGAAAGACGGAAGACTGAAAGATTTAGGATCATGTAAACTTTTCACTATGACTGAAAGAATAAGGAGAGCTGAGTCTCAATCCTGGTTTTATGACCATTTCTCACTATTCAGGGTAATAACTAAATATAGTGGGGGTGGGGAGCATGTGGGCAGGAAAAGTCAGTAAAATGCCATCCTCAAATATCTGCCATTTCCCCCCCTCCACTTATTTATCAAGAACGTATTTTAAAACAACTTCTAAGGTCCAGGTAAACTCTGTGGTTTGCAAGCTTTTACTCATATAAAAACCACTGTGGTACCTGTTTCAAATGGAGATTCTCAGCTCCACTTACAGTTGGGTTTGAAATTGGAGTCTAGGTGTCTATGCTTTTATAAAACACCTAATTATGACACAAATGGGCCATGGACTCCACTTTAAGAAATATGTACCACCTCACCTAACTGTTCCACAAATGTTTTCCAATGTCATGCTTCATTAAAAATAAGGTGGCAACAAACTTGTCATTCCAAGTGAATTTTTCCCTAAAATATAAAGAAAACTGCATATACTATATATATGAAGTCTTAAGACTCTCTCTGTGGTTAAATTTTTTCCAAAATTAAAAGTAGAGCTGAGTAGCATTCTGTAAGACTTTCTTTTTTCTTAAGACGAAGTCTCACTCTGCCACCCAGGAGGGAGTGCAGTGACCGGATCTTGGCTCATTGCAACCACTGCCTCCTGGGTTCAAGCGATTCTCCTGCCTCAGCCTCCCAAGTAGCTGGGATTACAGGCCTGCACCACCACGCCCAGCTAATGTTTGTATTGTTAGTAGAGATGGGGTTTTACCATGCTGGCCAGGCTGGTCTCCTGATTTCAAGTGATCCACCAGCCTCAGCCTCCCAAAATGCTGGGATTATAGGTGTGAGCCATTGCACCTGGCTGAGACTTCAGTAACTTAATTGATTCCATTCATATGCCTAGAGAATAAAGTACTAAAGCCTGACGGTGGTTGACACCTATAATCCCAGCACTCTGGGAGGCCAAGGCTGGTGAATCACCTGAGGTCAGGAGTTTGAAACCAGCCTGGCCAACAAGGTGAAACCCTGTCTGTTTAAAAAAAAAAGGGGGGGGAGGGAGAGGGAGGGAGGGGAGGGGGAGGGGGAGGGGGAGAGAGAGAGAGAGAGAGAGAGAGAGAGAGAGAGAGAGAGAGAGAGAGAGAGAGAGAGAGAGAGAGAGAGGGAGAGGGAGAGAATAAAGGACTATACGTGACACGAGACCTGACATTAGGACCAGATGTCAGCTTAGTTGTGCTCCTTTACCAATACAACCAAACGCTACTCCATGTTTGTTGTGAATGAAACTGAACACATATCCTCCAATATAAAACAAAAATAATCCCTTCAGATCTTCCAGAGATTAAAAATCTAAACATACAAACAACTCAAAAACTGGAAAAAAAAAAAAAAAATCTTGGCTTAACATACGGGTTCAAATAATTATATTTACCATTATCTGCTTAGTGAACTTGCATATTCATCCCCTGGGAAACAAAATATAAATTAAAATCTTAACCTTTTGGAATTTAAAAGATGAGACTTCTTTCAAATATGAGTAATCCAGACTTAATTCACTAAATAAACTAAGCCAAACATTAGAAAAACATTAATTAGGACACATAGCTTTGCCCTTCTGATTTTATTCAATATTTACTATATATCCTAAGTTGTCCATTAATCTAAAAATAGTTTAAACAACTGCCAACCCAAATCCCCTTTTTAGCCCAATTCTCACACCATTACTAACTGTTCAACAAAACAAAACAAAACAAAACAAAACAAAACAAAATTCGCAAGTAGGTCCTATCTAAAAAGAAAGATTTAGAGACATGGTAGAAAAGCTTTAAAATCACTGTCACTAAATCGAAGTTTTATTAAAAAAAAAAAGCTTCAAATAATCAATTGGTATGTGCAATTGTCCAATTAATAGGTAAAAACATCCAAATATAGATTTTGCCCTTCTGAAGGTCTATTGGGATGTCAACACCTACATTCCCTGAAATAATGTTGAAGGAATGCAATATTGCCCAACATAGTACCTTTCTGTTGTATTACTAAGGAAAATCCAACTCTTAGGCTGGGTGCAGTGGCTCACGCCTGTAATCTCAGCACTTTGGGAGGCCAAGGTAGGCAGATCATGAGGTCAGGAGTTTGAGACCAGCCTGACCAAGATGGTGAAACCCATCTCTACTAAAAATACAAAAATTAGCCAGGTGTGGTGGCACATGCCTGTAATCCTAGCTACTTAGGAGGCTAAGGCAGGAGAATTGGTTGAATACTGGAGGCGGAGGTTGCAGTGAGCAGAGATCATGCCACTGCACTCCAGCCTGGGTTGCAGAGCTAGACTCTGTCTCAAAACAAAAATCTCTCATTCTTTAAGCACAGAGCTCTTAGGAATAACTGTTCCCAAATAGAATATTTGATATGCTCCAGCTTCCTAAGAAATATCAACAATAAAGATCAAATCAATTTGCCTGCCCAAAACTGTTACACCAAATAAGTATCACTAATAGGAAGGAGAAAACTAGGAAAAGCTGTTAGAGAAATATTTTGGAAAAAAAAAAAAGTCCAAAAAACACATTGTCCAGGCTCTTTCTATGCCTCTTACAACACCTACACATATGCACCTTCACTAAAATTGTTGGGCAATACTGTTACTTCTAAATAGCTTTTAAGTACCAATGGTTACCTAACAAAATAAACCAGGTTTCAGGTTTCAATACTGTGGGTGTTTCAACTTTTTATTTCCTTATTAATAAGTTATAGAACACATACTCCTCGTATTATCTTCCCAAAATCATTTTTCACTAAAAACACAAATTTATAAGCCTAAATGTTCCTTTGTTAAGAACTGCGGGCAATTAATTTGTGCTTCCTGGAGTCATGTACTATTTCCAAGCTGAGGATCATTTTGCTTGTACTTTAGGCCCTCCTAATTCTAGAATAGGCTAGATGTTTCAAACGTGAAATATGGGCCAGGTGCGGTGGCTCATGCCTATAATCCTAGTACTTTGGGAGGCCGAGGCGGGCAAATCAGGAGGTCGGGAATTCGAGACCAGCCTGACCAACGTGGTGAAGCACCATCTCTACTAAATAAATACAAAAAATTAGCTGAGCATAGTGTCGGGTGCCTGTAATTCCGGCTACATTGGAAGCTGAGGCAGGAAAATCACTTGAACCCAGGAGGCAGAGGTTGCAGTAAGCTGAGATCGCTCCACTGCACTCCAGACCAGGTGACAGAGTGAGACTCCAACTTGAAAAAAAAAAAAAAAAAAAAGTGAAATATGGCAGGACTCAGATCTCAACAGTTTGGGATCAAACTGTAATCTCAACAGTTTGGGAGGCTGAGGCAGGAGGATTACCTGAGTCCAGGAGTTCAAGACCAGCCTGGGAAACAGTGAGACCTCGTAGTAAATAGTAAATAATTTTTTTTAAGTGAAATATTATTTATAAGAGTAGAAAAACAAAATTTTGGGGCCTTAAGGGTTCACGTGAATTGAAGAGGCCAGTTAGCCAGGCATAGTGGTGTCCCAGCTACTTGGGAGGTTGAGGCAGGAGAACCACTTGAACCCGGGAGGCAGAGGTTGCAGTGAGCCAAGATCGTGCCACTACAATCCAGCCTGGGCAACAGAGCAAGACTCTGTCTCAAAACAAAAACAAAAAACAAATGGATGTGGCCACTTTCCTCTTCTTCCTCTTATCCAACAAAACTTTTAAGAGTCAACCGCACTCTGGAAAACAGATTGGGGGAAAGAACCATCCACTCATGCCCCAAACATTACTATGCACCTGTCTTCCGAATAGTTTAAATTATTTGAGAAATTTATAAAGTACTGCATATATACAGCCTAGATGCAAACTTAATCTATTCACTTACTGAATACCTTTAAGTATCAAAGCATTATTTCTTAGGTCTTTTTAAGATGTAAAGACAAATAAGGCCATCTCTTCAATTCAAGAAGCTCAAAACCCAATGGAAGAACTCTAAGTAACAGTATATTAAATGCTGTAAGAAGAGTAGTACACCAGGTTAAATGAACCTAAGAATGAGATCAAAAGTTGAATCAAACACTTAAAAAAAAAACCATGAAATGAATAATACAGCCATAATTACACACAGAATTCATATATGTTAGGGGGGTAAACCTATATGCAAATAGTTTTATCACCATTAAACTGGCAAAAACAGTAAGCAAGGAACTTCAGAAGAGTATC